TCAAGCTGAAGGGTAACCCACGCCACATACCATATACACATACACACACACACACACACACACACACGTCGCTTGAACACAAGCACATAAAGCATTAAAGTATACATAAGCCTTATATACACTTCGACGGCGTCGACTATGAGACAGCCAACAGCCCTTTCCTTTCACACAAATGTCGGTATGTATGTATATGGGCAGCGGCGACAGCGTGAGTCGAAGAAACAAAGAAACAGCAGGCACAGCAGAAGAGCCAAAAGGCAAACAGCAAAAGCAACAGCAAACAACGACAACGGCTAGACGTCGACAATTCAGTGCAAAGCCAACTTCGAACGAGAACGGTCGTTTCGCGGTCGCCAGCAACGAATGAGATATAAAAGCCGTCGCCGTTTTCGTTTGCCGTATGAGAGCAGCAAAAGAGACCAACGCAACCAAAATCAACGAGTGTAAGCGAGAGCGAGTGCGCAGCAGTTGCACGCCCAGTGAGAGTTAGTGTGCGAGCGAGATAGTATTGTGGCAGCCACTGAGCGCACAGTAGAGAAAAAGGAAAACGTAAAAAACGGCAGCAGAGGGCAGGCAGTTGGCCACTGTCAATGTAAATAGGCGTTGCGTATGTGTATGAGTGCGGCGACTGCGCAAGTAAATAAAGACAGCGTTGGCAGCGTGTCAGCGTCGCAGCCGTCGTGTAGTTTCGTCAGTTGAACATGGAACGTTGAGGCGAACGGACGTACGCGCATTTTTCATTGCTAAAATATTAAATTGCTTCAGCTGCCAAGCGTATTACATACCTTTTAGTGTAATATACAACAATAAATAAATAAATAATTTTTAAAATTTAAATATAATTATTAAATAATAGAAAGTGAAAGTAACTAAAGTATTAAAACGCATTGCTTGTACAAAAGGTAGAAATTTCCTTTGTGTCTCGTGTGACAAATGCCGCAGCAACAACAACACGCCGACGATATCAGAAGGCAGTAAACAGCCTGCGCTTATATACACGACGACGTCTATGTACACGTCGCAGTCGCAGTTCGCGTCAGCAGCGGCGTTCGTGAATGTGTGCGTGTGCAGAAAACATAAGCCAAAGCATAATACACAATAAAGGTGCACACGAAAGCAAATAACCCAAAGTGACAGCCGCAGCAGAGCTCGAGTTTCTATGCTGTGTGCGATTGTGTGTGTGAGTGTTTTGTGTTGAGAAATATCAAAAGCAACGAAGCAGAGGAGTAAAGTGTAAAGCAAGCAATAAAACGTAGCAACGCAAACAGCTGAAGCTGAAGCCGAAGCTGAAGAAAGAAAGGCACAAGATAAATTGTTGAAAATCTAATTAAAACGAAACGGCGAAGAGTATATATATGTATATGTATTTGTGTGTATATATTTGTGAAAGTGTGCGTGAGCAAATATGCCAATAACTGCACTTCGGATTATTACAACAACAGCAACAACACCAACATTATTAACGGCTGCATCGCGTTTTGGATTACGTTTACTTCTTGCAGCAATTGGATAAAAACAACAACACAAAAATGCCGCGCACTCAACTGGATTAGCCGTCAAATTTGTACTCAGGTAAAAATAACAACACACAAGCAGGCCAAAGCAAGATGTGCAATTGCAAATTATATGCTCTTTTTTTTTTTTATTTCTCTGCTCCACTAACATTTTACAGCGCTGCCGCTGTCTGCCTGTCGGCGCACAGCTGTTGCGCTGCTAATGCTCCCTACCTCCCTACCTCTCTCTCTCTATCGTTCGCTGTCTTTACCCAAATTAAGAAGAAAAAAAATCACTCACACTCGTTCGCAACTCTCACTCCAGCCTGCGCTCAGTCGCTAGCAGAGGGAAGTGAAGTAGCAGCGGAAAGTAGCTGCAAACCAAAACAGTAGCGGCGACAGCAACAGCTTTTTGTGCCCCCCTCTTCACACACAGACACACACATTCGCAGAAAGTGTACATTTGCGATTGGCAAGTGAGCTTGCTCATATACATATGTATGTATGTGTACTGATGTGTGAGTACATGCCTTACATGCTGTTATTACTCTTTTACATAAATATGCTCTGCGCACACACACACATATAAGCATATACAGTAAAATTGCATATTTTTAACTGCTTTACTTTATTTCGTCGCTGAATGGAAAGTAGTGCGTGTGAATGTGTCCGTCTCTGTGTGTGGGAAAGGAGATAAAGTCTTGGTCGCTATCGCATTTACCCTACCCTTTGCATTTCACAAACACTGCCCTTCGCGTAGCGTATTGCTGCAGTCGCGCAGGCCGCGCTTTTGTTCTCGAACGTTAACTCACGTGAAATTCCGCTGCTTGCTTTTATTTTAATTTTTTTTTTATCCTTTTCATTTTTCGTACTCTTATTTTTTTTTTTGCGCGCGCTCTGCCACTGCCTGAGCTGTTGTTGTTGTTGCTGCCACTGTTAGGAAGGGTTAAACTTGGGTACGCTATGTGCGCGTGTATGGGTGAATGTATGTATGTATGTGTGTGCACACTTAAATTTTATGTAAAAAGGATTTTAAAGGCAGACCCGTTCCTTTGCTTGTGCGCGTCCCTGAATACATTTCATATTCATTCATATTTACATTTTGTGAGTGAGTGAACAAGAGCAGGCGAAGGAGAGGAAGAGTTTGGCTCTTACTGTAAAAAGTTTTGAGTAAAACTTTTTACTGGTGCGCGTTGATGCAAAAACAACTTGAAATTATAAAGTTTTTTTTTTTTTTACAAAACAGTTCGCACTTGTATTTGTGCTTTTAGGGAGTTCAATTTCAGGCCGTTTTCATTTCTCCAAATAAAAAAAGCCGTACATAACCCAACTTATCTGACTGTTAAGTCTACCTCTCTCGTGCTCTATCCCTTTTTATCTGAGGCTCCCCTTTGAGTGCCAATGCAATTTGCATTGGTATGCGTATATATATGTGTATGTATGTGTGTGTGTGTGGAGGGCCGCTCGGCAGTCGTTAACATTCCCTTGGCAACCGGAGAAGGGAGGGAAACAGAGTGAAAGAGAGAGAGAGTGAGAGAGTCAGACGGAGCAAGGGGAAGCCAGTGTGGAGCAAGCATCCATTATCCATCAACTGATTGCACATAAAAAAATATATATTTATATATACGTACATACATATATAATGAAATACAGCCTCATCTTTTGGCCAGTGATTTAACAGTTTTGACTTTCAATTACGTATATGGCAAATGGGGGGCGTGGCAGCTCCAAATATGCGAAATTGATGAATTTAACATGAGATTTTCTGTTTAACATTGAGTTTATTTATTTTTTTTTTCTCGAGTTATTTTTATTTTTTTCTGCTGTTTATGGTCCACAACTCGTGTTCGTTTTATATGGTTGCGCCTGCTTATTTTTCACTATTTTCTTATCATTATGCATTTATATACAGATGGATTGACAGTGAAATGAAAAAGAAGAAGAAAAAACAGCTGTTGCTGCTGCCGCTGCTTGCTGAGTTTTATCTTTTATTTTATTTAACATTTTCACAATCAGCACAAAATGCACGAGGCCAACGACTTTATGGAGTGTGAGAGGGAGAGGGAGAGAGAGAAAAAAAAAAAAAACAAACATTTCTTTATGTTTTTCCATTGAAAATGCTGCGAGTGGAAATTTAAGATTTCTCTGTGCATGTGTGTGTGTGTGTGAGTGTGAGTGTCTGTGTTTGGCAACTTGAAACGTATTTTTATTGTGTTTACATATTGTATTTAAGGATTATTTGAAGCTGTTGCAGGGAGTGGAGCGCACAGTGAGCGCTCGCTAAGTGGAAAGCTAACAATTTCAAAGCATAGTTGTCTAGCTCTTAAATGCAGAGCGAAGGCGAATTTAGTATATATTTATAAATTAATACATACATACATCTATATATATAAATATATTTTTTTTTTGATTACGAGAGTTTAAATTTTAAATAAAAACTTAGTATATAAATTTTATAGGTTTATATATAATTATAATTATTAAAAATTTATTTTTTATTTTTAATTAAAAAAATTAAATTTATAAAAATAATTAAAAAATTAAAAATAAATCTGCTTATAAAATTATTTTCTATATATCCTACTCAATTTATTATTTATTGTGGAGTTCCACCTATCGAGTGCCAACTGTATCAATTTATAGTGTTGTACCTCTTATGGTATGTGTGTATGTATGTATGTGTGCCTAGCACTCTGTAAGCATTATAGCTCTTATTTTTTAATGCTCACAGCATGAATACCCCTACTCTGCTGCCGCTGCTCTCTTTTTGCATTCATGCATATGCATATGTGTCCATTGGTCTAAGTAGATGTGTGTGTCTATTAGCGTATGTGTGTGTGTGTGTGTGTGCGTGTGTGTGTGTCTGTTGATATTTGCATTTGTTATTTGTCGTTTGGCTGCATATTAAATTTCCACGTTTTTTTTCTCTCTCTTTCCTTGCAGAAAACAAAAGCGAATTTTAGCGCAACTTCTATTATTATTATTATGATGACGCCGGAGTCGAAGGCAACAGCAACGGCAACGGCAACGGCAACAACAACACCAACAATGGCGCATACACAAAAGCCAGCTGCTGCGTCGGCGTCGCAGTCGCAGCATTTATCAACACTGGCGATGGCGAGCAAAGCAACAAAAGCGGGCAAAAGCTTTGCCAGCAATGCAAATAGCAACAACAAGAACAATAACAACAACAGCAGCAGCAACAACAACAATAATAGCATCAAAAAGCTTGCAATAAATATAACGGCGACAAGTGTTGATAAAATGCAAATGCAAAAGCAACAACAACAACAACAGAAGCAACAACAACAACAACAACAACAGCAGCAGCAGCAAAAGAGCGCAACAAACAACATTAAAGTAAAAAGTGAAAACACGTTAACAACAGCAACAACAACAGCAGCAGCAACTGTAACTAATGCATTCACAACAACAACAACAACAACAGCAGCGGCAGCAGCAGCAAAGGCATTGCATGCATGTAACAACAACAACATTAAGAAAGAAGCAACACCTCCAGCAACAACTGCTGCGGCTGAGGGCTCCACCAACAACAGCAACAGTAACAACAACAACAACAACAACAACAGTTCAGCATTTGCCTCGTCATGCTCAACATTCTCCTCCTCATCATCCTCGTCATCTTCATCCTCCTCCGCCTGGTCGAACATTGAGGATGCGAACAGCAACGGTGGCGCCTCCGCCGACGAAGAGCATTGCGCCAACGAAGAGGCGCCACAAGCTGCGGCCGCTGCGGCTGCTGCTGCTGCTGCAGCAACGACATCATTGATGATGACGACAACGCCACGCCCCGTACTCCTAACGGCCGTCAATGCCCACATCATCTGCCACTTGTGCCAAGGCTATCTGATCAATGCGACGACCATCGTGGAATGTTTGCACTCGTGTAAGTACCAAAAGACCGAGATAGCGATAGAGACGAAAAACAGCGCAAAAAAAAAGAAAACAAAAAAAAAAAAAAATCGAACCCTCCTTCTAAGACAGCCCCCTAGATACCGCGAATCCTTGGCACTTGGCGGCTAGGCGCAAAAGCTAATTAGAAGTAGTTAGCCAAGCGAAACGGAAATGACGCTCGACTGTACCAAATACCCTGTGAGAAAATCAACATCCGCTGCTCTTGAGAAACAGCAGTCTGTGTTGGAAAGGAAGCACTTCAAATTAGTTTATCAGGGCTTAAAAAGAAAAATGAAAGCAATTTGTTTATAAATCGATATTTATCGATTTGTATTGAGCGAGATTTATCTCAAATATATTTAATGATTATGTAAATGAGATATGTCAGGGACTATGTTAAAGAGAAATTAGATATTTATCCAGTTTCTTAGAGAAGGACTGATTTTGTTACGAAAAATCGATTTTATATGTGAAATTTGCATTATTAAGCAAGGACATCGATATGTAACGATTGTAGGTCATTGTGGGAAGTAAAATAGTATATTTAAGATAAGGTAAACGCATTTAAATGCAGCATTTAGCTCCAGTAATGGGTATTATAAGAAAAAATCGATAGTTATCGATTGTGTTTTAAAAGAAATTTCATACAAATGAGAGTATAAAATGTAGTTAATGAACAGTATTATCGACTGAGAAGATTATGAGTGAAATAGAACTATTCTAGATTTATATATGTATATTATATACAAATTAATTGATTGAAGAGAGAGCTGCAGGCAAAAAAACCCCACAATATATATCGATTGCAAGATAATTAAGCAAAATATTTATTGGATCTTAGCAAGACATTTAAACAAATATAATGGATGTAATAGCGTTCATTACATAGTCACAATCCTAAGCAACATATAACAATCTCCTCTTATCTATTTACCAATTATTACAGGGTATACTAACTGGCAAAAGTTCAGCCTACCCCCTCCCCCCTCGCTTACCCAGTCTGTGCTGTGCGATAGACGCCAAGCCAGATGCTGCCTTGACGATAAGTTAATGGGCAACATTAATGAGCCTGCTGATGCCGATGCTGCTGCTGCTTCTGCTGCTGCTGTTGCAGCTTCCTCATCTGCAGACTCCGGCTCTGGCTCACTCGTTTTAGCATAGGTCGAAAAACCAAGCCTGGCTATATAGCCGCAAGTATGCTCGTGTCTAGAGAGCCGGAATGGAGTTGGATGTATGGCACATATGTCTGACTAAATAATTACAAATGGTTCTGCGAGGATGCTCAAGCTTAATAACTGCTGAACCATAAATCAGACAACTTTCAAGTGGAAAACTGAGACACCCTGACTCTAACCATTCTGCACGCTCTCCCTTCCCCCATTCCCTCCCTCTCGCTCTCTCTCGCTCGATTAGACCCAGACGAGTTTAAAGAAAAAGCAACGCTTTAGTTGTCTTTTGAGCGATTTTTATGTTACTTCAATTTCCGGTTCGAGTTCAAGCTACAGTTTTTCAGTTTTTTTTAGCTTTTCTTTTAGTGGCAGCACGCTTTTCCACAGCGACATTTTTCGCTCTTTTGTTGACTTTCAATTTGGCCGCACAGCAAATGCAATTTGGTTTTATTGAACGAAATTTTTATGCTAGCGCAGCCAACTTAACAAGTTCAAGAGTTAAAGCAGCCAACTTAACTCGTCTGAAATTTGGTTTCTTTGCTGGTAAGATGTCCTCAAATAGTTGTAGTTCGTCATTTAAATAGTTTAATGGAGCTCTTAGACATTTAGAGTAGTTTTGCAGCGTTGCCAGCTAGTTTTGAAATTAGAAATTAAACAAAAGTTTAAGGGAAATTGAATCAAAGACTTGGGAAAAGTCTTTTCATTGCTGAAAATGGTTAAAAGTCTAGCTTATGTTGATTTCCAGCACTATGAACTTAATGAGCATGTCCTACAGTGCTGCCAGATGGCTGGTAAATAAGAAAAAAGCTTAGGTATAAACGAAACATAATCCAAAAGTTGGTCTAAGTCCATTTAACATTACAAGAAATGCTGCCAAGTCTGGCATATAAACTAATTTATGGAATGCATGTCATTCAGTGTTGCCATATAGCACAAAAATGAGGCTTAATTATGTACAGTTCTATGTAACAATTAGACAAAGTTCTTTCAACAATGCGAGAAATCCTCCACAGTTTGTTCACAACTCAATTGCAGCGCTGCCAACTTAATTATCCGCATGTCATACAGTGTTGCCAGATCAGTGGCATTTCTCTCAGCAATCGCTGACAATTTCTTCGCTCTATGCACATATTAGAGACATCAACTAGCAGACAAATTATGGCATTCGATTAACTGCGCATCCGACGCAAAATGCAGTTAGCCTTCATTCATTCAGTCTGTCAATCAGTTGGCCAGCCAGTCAGTCAGCCAGTCAGTAAATCTGTCTAACCACATGTGCCGATTGGCATTTCATGTTGCTCCCGAGGCGCATTTAAATCTGTTGCACTCACAGCTTTGCAGTGCCACATGTTGTTGACTGGTGCGCGCTACTGCTGCTAGTTCTACTCCTGGCAGCGTTGCCACCCCGTTCCATTGGCTGACAGCAGCAGCTGTTGCTCTGCTTTTATTGTATTTGTCCTGCTATTTTTGTTAACTGTGCTGCACTCGCCTCGTTGCCAGCTCTGACTCGAGGCCATTTTCGTCTCGCACCAGCCCCGAACCACCCAAATGACAACAGCTCGTAGTACTGTCATTTTTTTTTACCATCCATGTCTCTCGGACTGACAGACAAGCGTAACAGGCGCTGCGAATGTGTTGGCCAGCCCAGCCCAGCCCAGGCGAGGGCAGCCCCGTCTACCTATTGCTCCATATTTGCCCCTTCTCTCGTTTTACCCATCTTCACTGGTGCTGCTGCTGCTGCCTCTGCTGTATCCTGTCTGGGTCCAGTCTCCAAACTCTCGTCTCACTTTGCTGCATGTTGCTGTCGCTTGGGTGACAGTTGTAGCGAACGGACGGACGGATGGGCGGACGGGCGGGCGGGGACGCACAGCATCAGACAGACAAACAGACGGACTGCCATTGACGTTAAAGTCAAAACAAAGTTTTTTCTTTCGTTTTTCATACCACGCTGCGAATGAAGGGAAACATTGGGGTATGCACGTACTCTGTGCGTGTGTGTGTGTATGTGTGTGTGTGGGCGTTATGTAGTTGAGAATGCCGTGTATAATCGCATTAAAAAAAGGAGTTTTATATTAATGTTATAGTAGATTGAAGTGGGCAGTCAGAGAGCAGGAAGAATTAATTAATTTAAAAAAAGAGAAACGACAAAAATAAAATAATAAAATTATTATAAATTTCCATTTCGTTTCAGTTTTTAATTTAAGGCGAGCTATTTGCCATTTTCATTCGGAATTAAATTTTTGTATATATGAGAAAATCTAGCATGAACATTAGGATGACCATATTTGAGTTAACTTTACGTCCATTACTCGACCATATTTGAGCTATTTATACGGATCCTAAGAGATCTTTATCGCAGTGTCGTTGCCTTTTTCAGCTTCCTTTAGTTACTTCAATTATATTAGACATTTACTTTATACTTTGTCTTCTGTAACTCAAATACAGAGTATCTCATAGTCGTGCTTTGGGCTTTGAATAGCTTTTACACAACTTTTTTGCTCAGTTTTTGGCTTGTAGCTTTTTCTCGTGTGGCACGTTCGAATTGAATAGCTGGTTTGCGTTGCTTTTGCATTTCCTATTTATTCTTTTCCTCTTTTTTTTTTTGGTACATCGTATATCCATTTTGGGTAGCTGTTGTGTGTGTGGGCGTGGCATAAGCCTTGGCAAACTGCGTGCGTAACGAACGCTAGGGGAATTATTTTTGCCAAGGTTTTACATAAATTTGTATAATTTCTAGGCGAACCAACGCCACAATTTGTAACTGTTTTATTCGCAGCTCTTCATCACTGTCTCGTACAGTATCTAACTCACTCTCACTCTCTCTCTCTCTCACGTTCTATTTCTTGTCTATTTCGATTGCAGTCTGCCACAGTTGCCTCATCAATCACCTGCGCAAGGAGCGCTATTGTCCTCGCTGCGAGATGGTCATCAACAATGCCAAGCCCAACATCAAGTAAGTAAAAGACGCAATTCACAATGATATAAAGATAGATATCTCTCTCTCTCTATATATATATATATATATATTTATATATGTATATTTGTATCTGTTGCTGACAACTGCAATTAGATAATATAAGAACACAGCGGCAGCCGCCATTTGTCTGCGCAGGGCAAGAGTTTAATGCAGTTGTATAAGCTCTTGATATAGATTAGATTTTCACTTTAATCGAGTCCCTGCACTGACAACAGCTCTATGATGTTATTTATGGCTTCAAATTATTTAGAAAAGTTGAGTTATTATTATTAGTTATTATTTTTTTTTCTATTTAAGAATTGTGTTTTTATTTATTATTATTTTTTTTTTCTATTTATGAATTGTGTTTTTATTTATTATTATTATTATTTTTTTTTTTTTTCTATTTAAGAATTGTGTGTTTTTTTTTTTTTTACTGTACATTTTATAGGATTTATTTATTTCTTATTATTTTTTTTATTATTGTTTTTTTTTTTTTTTTTTTTTAATATAAA